CAAACAACAATATATACAAATGAACGATACTTGTTTATAAAGTGTAAGTGTTAGTACAATTTTATCAAACTGATGAATGTATTGGTTTCGTGCCTAAAAAGTACACAATTTGAACCTTTTTTTATTGTTTATAAACGCAAATACACTGACACATAACATTCTAAGCTATATGAAATTTGTATAATCACTCGATAAAACACGGACGCACTCGAAAAATCCCGGACTGCTCTCGAAAAAACCCGAACACATAGAAATGAATTTAGTCTCAAAATGTCGTTTTCAATGCAACACCAAGAATTTTTGTAAAGTGTCTGTATATCTAAGGATATATGGATTCCATTATGCATTTCCATCGACATTTGCATTGGTATGTGTATAAAATGGCTTTATTCTGTTTTTTGGAATAAAAGCATTGTAAGGCTAAATTCAACTTTTTTAACGAAACATAATGTCGGGTTGATAATATCTTTTTATCTCAAATACTAACACACCTTGTATATCCTTGTATATTTAACTTAAGCTTCTATATCACGTCTTGTTAGAAAGGAAGTCTGTTTGTTTACATTTTTGATCAAATTCACTCGAAAAAAGTGGTCACACTCGAAAAAACACGATCAAATCACTCGAAAAACCACGATCCTTGCCGGACACTATACCTACCGTGTTCATGGCCATAGCATTATAATGTAATTATAAGAATTGAATGCTTCTTTTTTATAATGTAATTGAGTTGTAAAATTCTTTAATTATGATAATTTAGGAATTTGACTTCCGTGACCTTTCAAATGGTGTAATGGTTTCGAATCATTACTTCGATTATAATCAAGATAATGGATGTGACAAAATGACTTCATTCCGTTTGGATTTATTAACTTTAAAGACCAAAAGAAGTCTTTTGTAGACACGCTTGAGGTCGGGAATTTCCCAATGTTACAAATAATTAAATACCTTAACTGACACATCTAGGTTAAATTGATCTCCCATAATACAATATACGAATTGCCTGTCTGTACAGAGAATAAATACATTCTAATATATTATATATATATATAAGAATATCAAAACATCATATTACAGTAATAGTTGTAAACCGATAATAATCGTTTTAAATTAAAAAAAAAAATTCTATTGCTAAAGAGAGGCGAAAAGATACCGAAGGGGCAGTCAAACCCATAAGTCATAAATAAACTGACAACGCCATGACCAAAAATGAAAAGACAAACAGACAAACAAACAATGTTATTTCATTTGTTAATTGGTAATTTGTATTTACCATTATTGTAAATAAAAAACAACGGTGAACTTTTTACATTATTATTTGCAGAAATAAATAGCAAAAATATTAGGTTCGCATCACCAAAGAGTTCATGCGCCATCACTTGTCATCTGTCGTCGTTGTCCGTTATCGTAAACTTAAAAAAAAAAAAAAAAAAAAAAAATCCTCTAAGAGTACCGAGCAATATACTCTTGAATCTTAACTTAGTACTTTTCAACATCGTACTTTGCTTTGCCTTTTAATCCTCTTTATTAAGGTGGTACCCAACACCTTGACTAATATTAATTTGGCTCGTTTAATTTTCATAAAATTTTGACAAAATGTTTACTTTGACCCTTTGACAAAAATATAAAAATTTGAAAAAATTTGAACCAACCACTTTATCAGAAAAATTTCATTGGTTATATAGCAGTTTGACAAACGCTAATTTTGATCATTGAGAAGCTTAATATTTCCTTTACAATACAACGTTATTAAAACGTTTAGCTGATTTTTACAGAGTTATCTCCCTGTAGTGTTAGGTACCACCTTAAAGCGTCACTGTGGAGTAACTAGAAAACAAAATCCGTTTGGCGTACACCGCTATAAGTTTGATATTTTTTTTCTCAAACTTTACCTAGATATAAAACTGTTACCTACATTTGTAGTTACAAAATTGTACCAGGGAATTGTGTCCAGTCACAAACATCATGGCCGTCTTTGCTCAAAATAGAACATAGTATAAAATGCTTTTTTTACTTATATATTAAGTATCAAAACTTAGGAAAAACTGCTATAATTGCTATAAACAGCAGTTAAAAATGATCTATCTGCAATGAAATTTTAAAACGTTTCGAAAAAATCCGTTTTAGAGTGTTGTCCTTTAAATGTAAAATTCTGGGTTTTGTTTTGTTCTGTTTTTTTTGTTGTTGATTGAAAACTATTGTAGATTATTTCATATCTGTTAAGAATTAGCTTCTCCTATTGAATAACAAGGGGCCACATGATATTCTTTATTCTTCAGTAGAAAATTCCGTCGGTCTTAAACAGAAAAATACGGATTGGAAAACCGGTCGTTAACAGACTTTCACATGTTAATGACCAGTGGGGCGCGGTTTCTCTGTTTGGAGTGATGTCCTTTAATAAAACGCAATTGAAGTTATTGAATTGTTTACCATATGTTTTCGTTAATTATAAAATGATAAAAAACTTTATTTTGTATTCATATACTGAAAAAATGCACTTAAATGCATGGCAGTGACTTATATAGTTATTACTATGACTGGTCTTCACTCTTTCCTATAGAAATCGTACAATAACTCGAGTTTGCTTTAAATAATTTGAATTTATGAGAATTTTTTAAAACATGGTTCCTCAATGAAATAAACATAATAGTTATTGAAGAACTGGTCATTATCGTGATTCACATAATTCACAACAATAGACAATTTACGGCGCTGTTGTTAACTGAGCCCGGGAATTTAGACACGATCCGGGTAAACTTATCGAACCTTTGGATAACTTTTTCTAAAAAGTTTCAAATTCAACATTGTAATTATATCTTTGAATATTATTTTTATTGGTATAAATATTGATTTTTTTATCAGTAAATTGAAACCATACTAAATATTATTGTAACAATACTTCCAAGGTTAGGGGAGGGTTAAGTGTTCACAAACGTGTCTAACCGTACCACATTCTGGATGTGCCTGTCCCAAGTCAGGAGCCTGTAGTTCAGTGGTTGTCGCGGGTTTATATCAATCATACTTGTTTTTTTCGTAAATTGGTTTGAAATAAATTAGGCCGCTAGTTTTCGCAGTTTAATTGTTTCATATTTTTTTTTGTCGGGGCCTTTTATATCCGATTTTACGGTATTGGTTTTTCTTATTGCTGAAGGCCATACGGCTAGCTTTAATAGCTTACAACCACTTCATTTGAACTTTGGTGGACAGTTGTCTCATTGGCAATCATACCACATCTCCTTATTTTTACAATATATTCATAGTACTGTGTTTGACTTGCAATATCCAATTAACATGTTATGAACTCCCAATATTTCTCAATCATAATGCATTTATATTTGTTAGATGTGCATCAGTACCACATATGCAGTACCATGGTTATGATATTCATTTCGTATTTTATAAGATAGTGTAAAACTTAACTCCGAAACACCGGTGGACGTAGCTTTGCTTAACTCAACGTAGCGTAGCAAGGAGGACGTTACCACTGTTTCGGAGTTTGAGTGTAAAACGAACTTTTCTAAGTTAAAAGAATAACCAAAGCTACACCAGGTTCACATTTGGTGTGTTGAGCTTTTCCCGATAAACCTTCATCAGAAACGCTTAATTATAAAAAAGAAGATGTGGTATGATTGCCAATGAGACAACTCTCCACAAGAGACCAAATGACACAGAAATTAACAACTATAGGTCACCGTATTGTTGTTTAACGTTAAGGATATATATACTAGATGAAAACATGAGCTAAGGTCCATTTGACATATTTAAACCTTAGAATTTCTAATTCTTATCAGTTCATAAGCACTGCCAGCTAAGCTTATAAGACCGTCAAGCACTCGCCACCTACCAGCTAAGATAATAGTAATACTCTCAGGGACTATCATTCTACCAGCTAAGCTTATAGTACTACTAGTAATACCGTCAGTGTCTAGCTTCTTCCAGCTAAGCTTATAGTAACACCCTCTGGGACTAGCTTCCTACCAGCTAAGCTTATAGTAATATCATTAGGGACTAGCAGTCTACCAACTACTAGTAAGCTTATAGTAATACCCTCAGGGACTAGCGTTTTACCAGCAAAGTTTATAGTTATACCCTCAGGAACTAGCATCCTACCAGCTATGCTTATAGTATTACCCTCAGGGACTAGCATCCTACCACCTTAGCTTATAGTAACATCCCCAGGGACTACCAACCTACCAGCAGCGGTATCGATCCAACGCCAGAAAATGAAAATAACATTTATAAATTTGTCGCGTTGGAAGCACTTTTAATATTTACGTATTTACACACATTATTCATTTGAGTAGATATTTACTCTTTCGATAAATATTTGCACTATTTTTATTTCTATTTATCCCTAGAGACTGCTACATACATGTAGAACTGAAATCATATTGGTACAAACACAATGCTGATAAAATAAACTGAAATTATTATGTGCATTTTAATAGTATTACGATTTTTGAAGAATGGACAGAAATGCGAGACTAATTATTGTAATTTCAGGAAAATCTGCATACTGATGTATCATATATCAGATACATGCATATGAATGTGAGGTCTTATTAATGCTATAGTCACATAGTTGTATTGTTCACAATGATAAAAACCTCGCAGTAATTTCGGAATATTAAGTACCTATTCCGTGCAAACAACATGAGTTTTTTTTTGTTGTTGTTTTTTTTTTTTTTTTGGAATAACATTCAGGATCATTCAATGTTTGCTTGTGAAGCAGGTTTGGAAAGCAAAAGAAAAAATAACAGTTTATGGACATAAAACCTAAACAGTCTACCCCGAAAATACAACTTAAGATTCATGACCCTCGTGGATAGTTTACTTTAACCTTTATGTTTTGGGAGTGTTTGTAGTCTGGGTAACAGTTTAATTTGGGTTTCGATACACAAAAAAGAATAAGACAATCAAATTTTAAATTTTGTGTTATTGATAAACAAAGAAATATGCAAATTAAACACAATACAATTTGCATTTGAACTTTCAAATGTTCATTTATCAGTATAAATCTCCATTTCACACAAGGTTAAATACTCGGGACCTCCTTTTACGATCTGTGCACGGACAAATCGTCCAATTGTTTTCTTCTGGCATAAAATATTAACGCTTTGTCCTGTAAAACCAGGTCCTACAAAGGTTCCACAGATTCCAGGAAACGATACACCGTCTAGACCAGCTCTCACTTCAACGTCATGCAATCTCTGACCTGCAAATAAAAACAATTTTAAAAATCTAATGATATTAATGACATATAGATTCCATCACTCCAACAAGTGTGTTACGATACTTCTCCTCTCGAGACAGTAAAATTTTGATATTTAAAGCGCGAGGCTTGCCGATCTTTTTAAATAATTAAAATTCAACTGTTGAGAGTGGAGAAATATCGTAATACACGAGTTATATTAGTGAAATCTGTTTTCTGATGATTTTTATCCTTCCTTTTCAAAGATTTGCAGAAAGTTTTGTTCTGTATATGTGACATCATAAAAATAATAATAATAAATTTTATATTTAACGAAGGTAACTCATTTAACATACAATTATTAATCACACACGAGGCCTTCACATATTAAAATGAACAATATATATAACAATCAATGCATAAAAATGAACAATACATTTAAGAATTGAATGCTTCTTTTTGTAAATTCATTGGGGTGTAAAAGCGTTGACCGAAGCACATTTTGTATGAAGCGCGGAAGCGCTTCATTCTAAAAATGTACTCACGGTCAACGCTTTTACAACCCTATGAAATTACTAAAAGAAGCATTTAATACTTATAATTACATTTTTTCGCTATGATCATGAAAACAAAATTACTATCAAATTTTTCTTTTATTTACCTGTGCACTTTATTGTGAAAACGTGTGTCATCGTGTATGTTACAATTCATTTTGAAATGAAGAATGACGCGAGATTGCTGTTAGCCAGTCAAAATAACGTATAATAATGAAACATACATCTAATGTAATTATATAACAATCAATGCATATAACACAATAATTAATATAGATGTACACAATTGCAAATGTATACACACAAGCATGAAAAAAGACTGTTGAACTATATAGCATGGCAAGAATATCATAAGAAAAAAGTTTGTCTACTCATTTTGTTTTGTAATAAAAAGATTGGCACATTTCACCTTGAAGCTTTCTGTATGTCTTGAATCCTTTATATCATATGGCAAACTATTCCAAATAATTAGACCAGAATATTGAAAAATCTTCTTTGAAGTATTCAGAATTTGGCCTTGGTATATGAAGATGTCCAGATGTTGTTGACCTAAGAGAATAACTTTTATAGATCACTGCACGCAGTAAATTTACTAGTAAGATAGTCTGGCGCTAGTCCATTCATTCATTTAAACATTGAAATGGCTTGAAAATATTCTACCCGTGTAAAAATGGTCACCCAAAATTGAATTAAGTTCTTTAAACATTGATATTGATGGATAATCGAAAGGCTTATTCAAAATTTATCTTGCTGTGTGCTTTTGTAGCCTATGAATCCGCTCAACGTTGCAATTTGCGGTAAGACCCAATATGGTGCAACAATAGTCAATTATTGGTAATATATAACTGTTGTGAAAAAGGATAAGACCTTTGCGTGGCAATTATCGTTTCAATCTATTTAGCAGGTATAACCTGCTTTAAAAAATCTCACATACTTTATCTATGTGAATTGACCATGATAGATTTTCATCAATATGGATACCAAGAAGTTTTTCTACTTCCACATTGTCAAATGAATTTTGATTTTGCGATAATACACACAAACAATCATTACAATTCTCAAGTTTTCTCTCAGATCCCATAAACATTCATTTGGACTTTCTGTTATTTATTATCATATTGTTTTCAGCACAGCATTCACTTACGTTTTCAGAGTCTTTATCTAAACAAGAGTTTAAATTCAAAAAAGATTTGGATGATATATGCAAAGTTGTGTCATCAGCATATAATTCAGACTCTGTGTGTTTTAATGTAAACGGGAGATCATTAACAAAGATTATGAATGATAAAGGTCCTAATATGGAACCTTGTGGGACCCCAAATGGTACATTATTGTATCCTGATTCTGTTGTTCCAATTTTATCATCAGACATGGTCGGCTTTTTTCATGACGTCACAATAGGAAATTCAGAAGAAACCACGAGATTTGGACGTCACAATTAAATTTCGACTTATCATTTGCCGAGAACAGATATTTCACTAGTGAGGAGAACAAATTTCTCACCGATCAAGAAATGTGAAAATATCACAAAAAAAATAGAGAAAACGTATTCTACCGTTCATTTTAAAAGCTACTTCCGTTTATTCACGTTGAACAAGGGCGTCAACAAGGGGTAACATCTAATGACATCAACAAGGGGTAACACCTAATGACATCAACAAGGGGTAACACCTAAGGACATCAACAAGTGGTAACACTTTATGACATCAACAAGGGGTAACACCTAATGACATCAACAAGGGGTAACACCTAATGACATCAACAAGGGGTAACATCTAATGACATCAACAAGGGGTAACACCTAATGACATCAACAAGGGGTAACATCTAATGACATCAACAAGGGGTAACACCTAATGACATCAACAAGGGGTAACATCTAATGACATCAACAAGGGGTAACACCTAATGACATCAACAAGGGGTAACACCTAATGACATCAACAAGGGGTAACATCTAATGACATCAACAAGGGGTAACACGTTATGACATCAACAAGGGGTAACACCTAATGACATCAACAAGGGGTAACACCTAATGACACCAACAAAGGGTAACATCTAATGACATCAACAAGGGGTAACATCTAATGACATCAACAAGGTCAACATCTAATGACATCAACAAGGGGTAACATCTAATGACATCAACAAGGGGTAACACCTAATGACATCAACAAGGGGTAACACCTAATGACATCAACAAGGGGTAACATCTAATGACATCAACAAGGGGTAACACCTAATGACATCAACAAGGGGTAACACCTAATGACATCAACAAGGGGTAACATCTAATGACATCAACAAGGGGTAACACGTAATGACATCAACAAGGGGTAACACCTAATGACATCAACAAGGGGTAACACATAATGACACCTTCAAGGGGTAACATCTAATGACATCAACAAGGGGTAACATCTAATGTCATCAACAAGGTCAACATCTAATGACATCAACAAGGGGTAACATCTAATGACATCAACAAGGGGTAACACCTAATGACATCAACAAGGGGTAACATCTAATGACATCAACAAGGGATAACATCTAGTGACATCAACAAGGGGTAACATCTAATGACATCAACAAGGTCAACATATAATGACATCAACAAGGGGTAACATCTAATGACATCATCAATGCGTTCATCCACTTCTCTTCTACCAAGTGTACGTTTCCTTCACTAATTGGTAACCGTAACACATGTCTTCAAATATATATATGCATAGTAATTATCAAATGACATATAAAAGTGTGAAATTCTTCAAGCAATCTTATTCTTAGCCCTAAAAACGAGCTTATAACAATCAGACAGACAATCACAATGCATCAGTATGAAGTAGGTAAGCTATTTTTGGTTTTAATAATAGTGCCTGAAAACCGATCACAAAAGATTAAACACTAAATATGTCACGAGAGTCTTGTCGAGTTTACAGAATAGAGAATATTGGGTGAACAAAATAAAGAATAGAGAAAAATGAACCAAAACAACAAAGAATAGATAAAATAAACCAAAACAAAAATGAATAGATAAAATAAACAAAAACAAAAATGAATAGATAAAATGAACCAAAACAACAAAGAATAGATAAAAATAAACCAAAACAAAAATGAATAGATAAAATGACCGAAAACAACAAAGAATAAATAAAATAAACCAAAGCAAAAATGAATAGATAAAATGAACCAAAACAACAAAGAATAGATACAACAAACCAAAACAAAAATGAATAGATAAAATAAACAAAAACAAAAATGAATAGATAAAATGAACCAAAACAACAAAGAATAGATAAAATAAACCAAAACAAAAATGAATAGATAAAATAAACAAAAACAAAAATGAATAGATAAAATGTACCAAAATAACAAAGAATAGATAAAATAAACCAAAACAAAAATGAATAGATAAAATGAACCAAAACAACAAAGAATAGATAAAATAAACCAAAACAAAAATGAATTGATAAAATGAACCAAAACAACAAAGAATAGTGAAAATTGTCTTGACAAATCAAATAATACAGAAATAAAGGAATCTCTATCCAGACCCTTATTCATGTTCATTTTCTCAGTGATTTTCAGACATATTCGGGACTGTAGATCCTGTACTTATTAACCAAAAGTTATTTTGAGGCGGTCTTTTAGAAGAGGCGAATGTGCATGCTATATGTCAAGCTCTAAACCACCGGAGTTGTGAAGATATCAATTAAAAGAGCTATGAAACAACAACTCAACTTAGGGAGCTACCATTTGATTTTTAGGCGGGGGTGGGGGCTAAGATGACATTTGAAAAAAATAGGCAGGACAGGATTTTTGAGTAAGAAAAAAAAAGGCATGATCAGATTGACACTTTGCAAAAAAAAAGGCAGGATGACAATTTATGTAAAAAAAAAGTCAGGATAAGCTAATAAAAAAGGCAGGACCGTATAAAGTGAAAAATAAAAAGCGGGACAGAGATTACAACTAAAAAAAATGCAGGACAAAATTTGTCATCCTAGCCTCCCCCTCCCCCTAAAAATCAAATGGTAGCACCCTAAAATAAAAGGCATCAACAGGTCAATAATCCGTCTTCAACCACGTGTTTATACAATGATAGAGATATAAAATGGCGCTGTAAGATTAAATCAAAGCACCAAAGAACTATAGGCAGTTAATTAAATAAACCCAAGGCAAACGTGGCAGAAGTTAAGATCAATATTGTGGAAGAATTGGTGTAATTATTTATCTCAGCTATTTCTCAAATATCAAATAATGTTTGTACCGTAATGTTTCCGCTATCCAATCCTACTATTTTCAAAATTTATTTTCAATTTATTTTTTAAAGATTCAATGTCTGAGATTATGCACATACACTGTCCCATGTTGGCGGAGGGATTTGTGCCAGCTCACATGTTTAACCCGCCACATTCTGTATGTACCTGTCCATAGTGAGGACCCAGTAATTTGGTGATTGTTGATTGTTGCTGTATATCATAATTATTTTCCATAATTGTTTTGTACATAAATCAGGCTGCTAGTTTTACTGTTTTACATTTGTCATTTCGGGGTCGTTTATAGCTTACTATGCAGTATAGGTTTTGCTCATTGTTGCAGGCTGTATGATCATCATACCAGATCTATAGTAATTAACTTATGAAACTTCTTCATACACTGAGGATTGAATTTAACTTATGGAGGAATATTCTTATCAGAATAATGGTGTCAACAGTGGTGTATGGTTTAATTCCACTATGTACTAGAGTTTTAATATGTCATATTAGCAGTTTGAGTTGGATCAGCTGGTGCTTCTATGCACAATTATTAAATCATACCTGAAACTATCTGAAGTGGTGTAATTTTCTTGTAGATTATATTACACTAAATGCTGATGTTGTTATAATGGCCTAGCAATGATGCAACATATATTTTTGAAGGCTGTACGGTTGCCTATAATTGCTTACATCCACTTCATTTGAATTTTGGTGGATAGTTGTCTTATTGGCAATCATACCACATCTCCTTATTTTTGTAATAATTGTCTAATCTATAACAAGCTATTAACACAGAGACATGTCTTGCCTATTTGTTATTTTGATAATGCAAATGCTGAAATTAAAATAGAAATACTTTAACATGTAAGTGATATTCAAAGACAATGAACCATGACTGATGGTACAGGGCTGAACAATCTCCATGGAAATGAGATGTGCCAATGCTAATACAACTGCTTACCAAATACCATTGACATTTCATAAGTCGTTCCCTTTAAACAAACCTTAACACAAATTCACTTGTAAACTATGTAAAAGTTTCAAAGTCAATGAACCTTAAACCATTGTGGTGACGTCAGCCTATTCATTTACCGTGGATTCTTTTTCTAGAATCAACGCTTCCTAAATCTGCCGCTGAAATTGACTCACCAAATTATATTGAATTGTTTCCTTTGTGTGCCTAATTTCATTAGGTTTGAATTGGCTAATTTACTGATTTCTGTTCACTAATGGAATTAATTTAAAAACTTACCTTTAATTTTTGTAAGCCTTCACTGGGAATCGAACCCTTCCTTGAAATCTGTTATGTGTGACTGACATCAACACATCGACGAAACCTCTCGGCTACCAATGGGTTGCACTATAGATGTCTATTTGATATATTTAAATGAACATCTGATATACATCGGTTCATTGGACACACAGGGCTTGTACCTTTATATAGATACAATAGGCAGTCGTATAGTATGAGTTGGTAGCCGCGAGGTTAGCATGGTTAAAATCAATGAGTTAAAGATATGGATTTGTCGATTTAGGTTCGAATCCCTGTATTCTCTCTGTTGTTTCAATTCTTAACTTATCCTGGTTTTATTCTAATTTTGCATGTTATAGTGGATATTTTTGTAATAATAGCGAGTTTTACCGTTTTTTTTTTATTATTATTATTATTGGCTATTTCACATGTTTGAAACAAAAATGATTACATTCTATTTGTCAATTTTTGTTTTATAAATACAGTATGATTTCATTTGTTTTACTACATAATTTTACAAAGGTTTGTTCGCAAATTCCTATGCGAGAAAATCGTGATGTGCCTAGAGTACTAGAAAATATTCGATAACATACTTATTATATATACTTTATATATGCTTTTTGGTCGGGTTGTTGTCTCTTTGGCACGTTCCCCATTTCCATTTTCAATTTTATTAGAAATAATTTCGAATATGTCTTATTTTGTATAAACAGATAATATTCATATGCCTGGTAATATAAAATTCTTTAAAGGTAGAAGTGTTATATTTGTATTTTGTTAACCAATTAATTGTGATCTGAGATTTATCAATGCATCGTTGGACACGATAACATGGTTATTTAAACTCACTTACAATACCTTCTAATTAAGAAAAGGCTTTAATTTTGAAAAGAAATTAACACAATAGTTTAAGTTATAGATACAATGGATAAGCGTAGATTCATGAAAAACAAACCATTCGCCCTCCGGGCTCATGGTTTCTTTTTCAAGAATCCACGCTTATCCATTGTATCTATATAACTTAAACCATTGTGGTGACGTCAGCCTATTCATTTACCGTGGATTCTTTTTCTAGAATCAACGCTTCCTAAATCTGCCGCTGAAATTGACTCACCAAATTATATTCAATTGTTTCCTTTGTGTGCCTAATTTCATTAAGTTTGAATAGGCTAATTTACTGATTTCTGTTCACTAATGGAATTAATTTAAAAACTTACCTTTAATTTTTGTAATTTTTATATGCCTTCACTGGGAATCGAACCCTTCCTTGAAATCTGCTATGTGTGACTGACATCAACACACCGACGAAACCTCTCGGCTACCAATGGGTTACACTATAGATGTTTATTATATATATTTAAATGAACATCTGATTTACATCGGTTCATCGGACACACAGGGCTTGTACCTTTATATAGACACAATAGGCAGTCGTATAGTATGAGTTGGTAGCCGCGAGGTTAGCATGGTTAAAATCAATGAGTTAAAGATCGGGATTTGTCGGTTTAGGTTCGAATCCCTGTATTCTCTTTGTTGTACCAATTCTTAAGTTATCCTATTTTTTTTTCTAATTTTGCAAGTTATAGTGGATATTTTTGTAATAATTCAAGAATCCACGCTTATCCATTGTATCTATATAACATAATGAGGGGGTGGGGTTAAATAATCTCCATTGAAATGAAACTTTTAAATACCAATACGTTCGCATACCAAATATCTTTGACTTAAGATTACTGGTTCATCTTAAACTGACATAATCACAAACTAATACATGTAAACTAGTAAAAGTTTCAAAGTCAATATACCATGACTCAGGGGTAAGGACCAAATATTCTATATGGAAATGAAATAATGCTTCCACAACTGCATGCCAATTATCATTGACCTACCACTATTGGTTTCCCTAATACTAACCTAATCAAAAACTAATAAATGAAATTTCAAAGTAACTTAAGTTTCCAAGTCAAAAGAGCATGATTGAGGGGGCGGGGCCAAATAATCTCAATAGAAATTAGACATGACAAAGTTTATACAACTGCATACCAAATATCATTGACCTAACAATAGTGGCCGCATGGTTCCCCCTAAACTGCCCTAATCACAAACTTATACATGTAAACTATGCAAAGTTTCAAAAGTCAATTGACCATGAATAAGGGGGTGGGGCCAAATAATCACCATGGTAATGAGATGTGCCTATGCTAACACAAATGCTTGCCAAATATCATTGACCTACCATAAACTAGACCTAATCACAAAATCACAAACTAATACATTGTTGATGCCGCCAAAACAGCATGCCTATGTCTCTCTTTTTGACTCCGTCAAGGCGAGACAAAAATTGCAACAAATCTAAATAATACAAATATTTTGTCCATCTTTTTTTAATATTTTTATTTTCTTTATTTCTTAGATATATTTAAACAAGTAACAAATATGCATTCAGTAAATATTAATAAAATTGAAAAGAATCCATAATCGAAATACTGCTTCGTAATTATGGTAATAAATAATTCTCCAATTTAACCTTGCTCTTGGATTGTCAAGAATACAAACTAAAATATTTCATGTTTCTGCACAATGCATCAATATCATGAATCAGTGGCGGATCCAGAACTTTTCATAAGGGGGGGGGGGCTCCAGTCATGCTTCAGTGATTCCCTATATAATCAACCAAATTTTTCCCACGAAAGGGGGGGGGGGGCTTCATAACATCATAGTTGTGTAGAGTTTCATTGCTGTAATGCTGTTATGGAATTATTGTGGTGAATAGTCAATCCAGCTGCTAGAGAGAATCATGTATTGTACATGTATGCCTTGCCTCTTCTAGTATTAGCCAAATATTGGTATCAAGCTGAAATAAAAACAAATAAAAATAGGTATATTGCTTATTTTGACAAATACAATGTAGCAAAAAAAGCTTCATGTCATATGTTTATTATGCATTAGTTTTGTCCATGTTCATTGATGCTGTAATAATTAATGCTTGCATTAATAACTAGAGCTGTCTGACTGGATAGTGTGATTAAATTACCCATGATACCCATGTCCATATGTAACAGTGGTTTGATTCCGCCAGTGTACTTTATCCGGAGGAAGAAAATCCCCAGTGATTTTTATCCACCAACAAAAAATCACTAGGGTTTTCTATCCGGGTCCAGTGTAAAACTTCCACCAGTCATTATAAGGTTCTAAAAAGTTTTTTTGAAGGGGAAATATATATAAAATGTGGCTTAATAGTTCTTAGTATATTTAAAAATTGCATAGCTGATTTATGTAAAAAGTGGAGAGTTTTCATCCAAGGAATGTTCACACCAGGAATGATTACACTAGTGATTTTGTACCGGAATGATTGCACTAGTTATTTTATACCCGGCGGGATTAATTAAACTAGTGCTTTAGATCCATTCATTGATGAAGTGATAAGTACTCATTTTGAACACACGAAAACACAATATTGCTTATTAACGAATGAGATTTAAATAATGTTTCTCTGCAAATCTATAAAACCATATGCTTTTAAATTGTCACTTATTGTAGTATTTATATTTATTGGATTGCCTAAGTTTTTTTTTGTATTAGCTTTTCGGTCGACTTGGATATTAAATCATATCTTCTATGTCAATATCAAAGGATGCTTCTGTTATTGAAACTTTATGTAAGAACAAATCTGCTCTTTAAATTTAGTTTGTATCAAGTTCAATGTCCTGATCATTGATAAAGTTATAAAAATATCCTCCTCATCATCATCAATGTTATTTACTAGATTGACTCAGATTAATTAAACTGGTTCCTTGAAAATCATTTTAATTTTAACCCATTTATTTATGTAAACAATAAACCGGTCTAATATAAACAAAATAACGATATCAAGATCGACGCTTTCACACTATTTACATCCAATATTCTCTAGTGAAAAACAGTAACCCGGAATAAACACACGGTGGAATGAAAGTACGCTTACACATGCATTTTAGTTGCTGCTTTGGAATTAAGTATTGAGACAGCAAACTTTTGAGATATTTGGCTTTCAGTTATGTTTTTTTTTTAAATCATTGCATTTGCTTCGGTCATGTCTGTATTACATGTAGGTTCACACATGGTTTGTGATAGGTCTACAGAAATATTTATGATTAAATATTGCAAATCTTTGATTTTATTCATTGTACCATAAGGACATTTGACAAGTCAAATAAAATTTTACTCAACTGGTATACCAATTTTTGATTGGAAATTATAGCACCACAAGCATAAAATATTGGACCATGTCAAGCCTGGTAGGACCACCTGCCCACTGTGCTGAAAGGGTACTAGTGATAACAAAGAGTCAATTTTAGTTATACAGTACAAAAGTTATGTGCAAGACACAAATCAGACAAGGGTTTACTATTATTATAAAGGCCCCTACATGTAATTTAAAGTGATCAAAGTCAAAGACTGATTGACCTGCCCTTTGAAGCTTGCTAAATGAAAATGACACCCGGGGGTCCCGAGTCCATGATGTTACTCCATACATGATCATCATGTATAATACATTGACACTATTTTCTTCCAATTGCCCATATTTTATTATAATTGATAGAACGTCTGTGCTACATGTACCACATACCAAGTTTTGAATATAATAACCGGTAGTTCCAAGTAAAAACATCATAGACAGAGGAGTGCGTTGATCAGTCTTAGACCACACGGGTTTGAACTATTTGCCCACAGGCACGTTTCTGTCAATGGGGGGTTTACTATTCGTACGAGTGTGGATAGTGAACCCCCCCCCCCCCCCATTGACAGAAACAAATGCATTTGCCGGGTAACCCCTATTCGACATTGCTTCGAATTCTAGCTTCAAAATTTTTCCATGACTTTCACTTACTTTGTCACATGAATAAATCTGTTTCCGCTTGATTTATCTCTTCAATGATATGTATGTAATCCCTTAAGTAACCTATATAAACATTGTAATCCTTAAAACGAACTTGAAATTTCTGAAGTATAATCCATATTGACGCCCTACATTTGAAAATGAAAGTACAAAAGCGACACCTAGCGGATAATTCGGAATACTTGGAATGAATTCCCGCCAATAATTCTATTTTGGTCTTACTTCCAGTTTATAAATAAACGGAATAATATTAAAGGAACTTCGAAGGAAATTAGTTATGCATTATACATTTAATCAAGATCAATTAAATAACCACATTCATCACTAACCAAACAAACAATGAATATAATGATTAATAATATTTACCTTTATATCAGTAGAATTCTCCAAATTTTTTTTATAAATCCTTGATATTCACGTTTCTCTTCTAGGTCAACATTCCGGACAAACAATATTCCTGCGCATATTGCCATTTGGCAAATGTAAACGACTTGTATTTAGAAATTTTCGGCGATCAAATATTTAATACAATTCATCTTTGATATCTTAACCAAAAGCACAAGGGATAATAAACAATGTACGGATTTCTATTGAGCACTATTTCCTATGTGCAACGTCAATTGTTATACGTCGTTCGACGATCATTTATGGTTATTTTGGCCATAGTTTTTGTATTGCAGAATTAAAAGTATGAAAAAAATGTCCAATTAGTTATAAAAACATATTAGCCTGTTAGATAACAATAATGGCACCTATATCAGCATTCGTTGAGTAAAAAACAAATCTAGGGTGCTAGCATAAGGCAGCTTAACTGCCTAATAAAAATCTCTCGTGTATCGTTACTAAATAAATTTGGCCGAATACTTTACCATTTTCATCTTGTCTGTTAACCAAAACAACTTTCTTTATCTTAAACATATCTTGAAGATCAATGCTAAGCCATGGGGTAAATTCACCGCGCGTATGAGTACACAAGTATCCATATTGCAGTTTAGGGACAAGTCCATCAGTCGCAAAGGTTGCACCATAAATGTCTGGATTTTCATACGTTGAACTTTGAGTAGCTGGCATGGACAAAGCTATGTTTACTTCTCCTGATTCCATTTCTAAAGACAAAACAGAAATGTATTAATAATGTCTTGTCATAATTATGTCATTATATTTCCAAAAAATAAAGAAAATGCTGATTTTATGCCGTTTTCCATCTCTATTTCCTATGTGGAAACTTCGTGCACATCACAAAAACAACAAAATAATTTTAGAGAAACGTACGTTCTTATAGCTATTTATATAATCTCAGCACATACAGTGTATCTTTCGAATATACATACTTTTCCAATCCAAAATATGCTCAAAAAGAGATTTTAAGCATAACCTTTAAGGTTAATGCAGAGTTTACAGAGAAATTTTCATTTCAGTGCGACGTTGGAGATTTCAGAAACTAAAGTCAAAAATCAAAAGTCTGAGATAAGTCTTTTTCAAATTGGTCATCAGAAATACTTTGGATTAGGAAACTGAAAATCACAATTATTTTCGTTGTTTTCAGGTGAAAAGATGGTCACAACTTTAGTTTTTACAAATTAGGGAACATTTTAAACAATGTGTTTTATGAGATGTCAAAAATTTAAATTAAGAAATTTCTAATTTTCTTAGAATTCTGAAACATTTTGTCAAAATTTTGACTTTTTGACTCATTTCAATCATTTTTTAAAAAGTTACATGATTGCAATTGAAATTTCAACTCCAAATAAATTAATGGATGTGGTGTGTTTCGTTTGTTGTTAAGTTTTTATATTTTGTGAGACATGGGTCATTGTGTACCTTCTTCCTTCAAATGTTTTTACAATTGTTTTTTTTTTGTATATTGGTCACTCCCCCTCCCCCCCCCCCCCCCCCAAAAAAAAAAAGGTCATGACTGAAGAAATGGTTTGTGTTTTTCTCTTTTAGAAGTTTCCCATCCCTCCCCGTTTCAGTGTATTCCTACGCAAATTAAAAAATGGGCGTCAATACCAACAAAATTGTCCTACATGTACTTGGTAACTACAGTAAACTTTTGTCTTATTGAAACAAATAACTAAATTAAATACAATCATGTCATGCCATCTACCAAAAAATATCAGGTGCAAACATTTGTACACCATATCCGGATTTCGACACTTAATGTCTCTTCAGTGATGTTAGGAATCGAAACGGTATTTGGAAGGCCATATAATTTACCTCAATTTAGGATAGACTCTTGAGTTTTGAAGAGTCGAAATAGGATGAACGGATCATATGAACCCAAAGGAAAATATAATACAAGCCCAATCGAAAAAATATAAACAAGTCTAAATTGAAAACAACGTTCAAACCTATGATTGCGTTGGATAAAAACCGCAATTTTTATATGTGTGCATGTAAAACAAATTTCTTGGTAGAGGGGTCTAAATACAGCACAAATAACATTTTCCAAAAGACCAAAAAAAGTGAAAAGATTTTAAGAAATCGCATTTGACTAACAGGTCGAGCAACTGATGTTCTTAAACCCTGCTGACTGCCATTGACGATTGCCAAATAAATTGATCACGATCTGTAACATGAATCTTAATTATTAATTCAATACCAAACAGAAAAGAATAAAATTGCGGAGAAGATAGTATACCGCAAACATGAGGTGCAAAAATTTGTACACCATATCCGGATTTTGACAATTAATGTCTCTTCAGTGATGTTAGGGATCGAAACGGTATTTGGAAGACCATATTATTTACCTCAATTTATGATAGACTCTTGAATTTTAAAGAATCGAAATAGGATGAACGGATCATATAAACCCGAAGGAAAATATAATACAAGCCCAATCGAAAAAATATAAACAAGTCTAAATTGAAAACAACGTTCAAACCTATGATTGCGTTGGATAAAAACCGCAATTGTTATACGTGTGCATGTAAAACAAATTTCTTGGTAGAGGGGTCTAAATACAGCACAAACAACATTTTCCAAAAGACCAAAAAAGTGAAAAGTATATTTTAAGAAATCGCATTTGACTAACAGGTCAAAAAGATTTGTTTGAAAAGATATAAAAAGGTCATGGACAAGGCTATAAACAAAAACATAAAACATATATGACTCGAAAATTAAAAAATCTTATATCTCAAATTACCAAAGAGTATTGGAAAATTTTGAACCAACGTGAACATTCAAAACAACCGAATATTAATTTTGAGGATTTACTCAACTTTTTTCAAATAGCTAAACTCAGGTAACTCAGATCCAATTGACTTGCCAACTAATGATACAAATTTGATGAGTGAATTGAATGATAATTTGAATAGTCCAATTACGAATGAAGAAATATTAAAATGTATTGAGAATTTAAAAAATAACAAAGCTTGACTGTGGTGATGATATGATTATTAACGAATATATTAAGACTTCTGGCGATTTTTTTATTGATGTTTATGTTGCATTGTTTAACTTGATTTTTAAAACTGGAATAGTACCAGTATCTTGGGTGATTGGAACAATCAAGCCATTTTATAAAAACAAAGGCAATAAGTTTGATCCTAAAAACTATAGACCCATTACTATTGTAAGTTGTATGGGTAAATTATTTACAGCTATTTTAAGTAATAGACTTGCAAGGTTCTCTGATGAAGTTTTACTACTTAATGAAAATCAGTGTGGATTTCGAAATGGTTACTCAACTTGTGATTGTATCTTTACACTACACTCTTTTTTGAAATTTTGAAATTAAAAAAGAAAAAATGTTCTATGCTTTTGTCGATTTTGAGAAAGCATTTGATACAGTGACTAGGGATGCTTTATGGTATAAGATGCTTGTAAATAATATTAATGGTTATATGTATAAAATTATCCATAACATGTATGATGATATAAAATCATGCTTGTCATACAATGGTGAGAAATCTGATTATTTTCCAAGCAACATTGGTCTACGCCAAGGGGAGAATTTATCCCCTTTTCTTTTTTCGCTTTTTGAACGATTTGGTAGATTTCTTTTGTAAAGGGAATTTGATAGGCTTAAAAACTATATCAGATGCCCTAGAAGACGAACTAAACATATATGTTAAACTGTTTGCAATTCTTTACGCAGACGATACGGTTTTAATGGCTGAATCAGCCACAGAACATCAATTACTATTAGAAAAATTTGAATCATATTGTAATGTTTGGAAAATGAAAGTCAATGTAGACAAGACTACAATCATGATTTTTTGTAGTGGTAGACAACCTGTTAACCTTAAATTTAATTTTGGTAACTATGACTTAGAAATTATTAATGAGTTTAATTATCTTGGGATTTATTTTTCTAAAAATGGCTCATTTAAAGCAAATAAGAAGCATCTGGCAGAAAAGGCTACGAGAGCCATGTTTGAAGTTATCAAAAAAGGGAGAAAGCATGGCTTATCAATAAGCTGTCAATTAGATTTATTTGATAAATTGGTTAAACCTGTTTTACTTTACGGCTGTGAAATTTGGGGATTTGGAAATAATGATATATTAGAAAGAGTTCATTTGAAATTTTGTAAACTTCTACTCCATCTAAAATCTTCCACCCCGAATTGTGTTATATATGGAGAATTAGGACGTTATCCTATTAGCTTAGATATCAAAGTTCGCATGATTTCATACTGGGTAAAGTTGATTTTTAGCAAACCCAGTAAATTATCAACAACAGCATACAAATTAATGTTTAGTTCATCTCATGGAAACAATGTTAAATTTTATTGGATGAAATGTATAGAATCTATTCTAAATGATACTGGTTTATCTTATGTATGGTTATTTCAAACTTGTATAAATGAAATTTGGTTAAAGACTGTTGCTAGAACATCTCTCCAAGATAAATTTAAACAAATATGGTACTCAGATATTCAAACGAACTCAAAAACATTAAATTACCGCCTTTTTAAGGAACTTTTCGGATTCGAAAAGTATTTAGATATTTTGGAACCCCGTGATATTTATACTTGATGTCAATTTAGACTAATTAACCACATATTACCGATAGAAAGTGGTAGATGGACAAAAGATCAGAGAGAGAAAAGAATATGCGAACTATGTGACTTAAAAGATCTTGGAGATGAATTCCACTATGCAATGAAGTGTAAATTTATGGCTATAGAAAGACAAAAGTATATTGATAAAAAGTATATTAATTATCCAAATATAATTAAATTTAAGGAAGTAATGAATATGACAAAACAATCATATTTAAAAAAGCTATGTACATTTAGTAGGCATATTAATTCATGTGTGTGTTCTCCTGGCTAAATTCAACTTAGATTTGTAAAGAGTGTACATATTATGTTTATTTTAATTCATAACTGTACTATTTATTACATGTAACTTCTGTGTACCATTGTATTGACGAAGGTTTGTCAGAATAAAGATATATATACTGAATCATTATTTACACTTAATTAATGAAAAACCTAACAAAAAAAATCTCAAAAAATTTCTAATCAGTAACTCAACAGTGAAAATCAGGTCAAGGACATGTACATATGACAAACATAACTTCGTAACATTATATATCTGCATAGAAATAGAATGTAAAAAGCATACAGTTCTTTAACTTCTAAAAAACTATAGGCTCTAAAGAGCCTGTGTGGTTGACCTTGGTCTAAGTGCATATTCTACAGAGGACACTCTCCAACATTGCTCTTGTCAGATTTTCTCAATTCATAACAGTTTTCAAAATAAAGGACAAAATTTGCATTTTACCCTGTGTTCTATTTTTGGCCATGTCGGCCAACTTTGTTGGCAGGCGGGGTCAGAGAACATATTTTACAAAAAAATAGATACTCCAATGATGATTGTAGTCAAGTCTGGTAAAATTTTACCTACAATTTTCAGATTATATTTTTGTAAAAGTAAACCATGTAAACAGACAATTTTAAATCAACATTTAAGGACAATAACTCCATTCCATTGTAATTGAAGATCTTATCTTGCCGATCGTTTTTGCTTATCTAAGTTTCTATCTTAATATATATTATGATAATGAAGATCTAAGGCAAAAACACAAACAAAGGGTAAAAATAGTAATTAAAAGGCAATAATTTACTCTAATAAGGAATTAACTAATAATTTCG